TTGAAATCACATGTACAGTATTTAGTGGAAATCAGAGAGACTAGGTTTTTTTGTTGTTGGTCACATATATTTTGTTGTAATATCCAGGAGGATACTGTGGGTATTAGTAAAAATGTGATCTGTAATTTTTATCAAAAGTACCTAATTAGTACCTTCATAGTATGTTGACACATCTATTCATACCCCATTGGCATATTTAACAAAGGCCTACTCTAATCTTAAAGGATTCATTCGAATTTCATAAGCAGTCATACTTTGACCAAAGTGTAGCTAATACAATTAAACGTTTCTTTTTAAGTTCAAAGAAGAATTTTTTTTTTTTTTTTTTTTTTTTTTGAGACAGAGTCTCACTCTGTCACCCAGGCTGGAGTACAAAAAAATAGTATTCCAATAACTTACATGTCACTGATGAGGGAAGACATTCCCAATTAAAAATACGTTTTTCTGAGCACAGCAATATCAACAGAGGAATAATTCAGTAAATACAAATGCCTACTGCATGCCAGGCACTCTCCTAAGATGCAGCAACCACTGTTTTCACAATCTGGCAGTAAAGGTAAACATGAAAAAAAAAATTGTGCCAGCCAGGCGTGGTGCCTCACGCCTGTAATCCCAGAACTTTGGGAGGCCAAGGTGGGCAGATCACCTCAGGTCAGGAGTTCGAGACCAACCTGGCCAATATGGCAAAACCCCATCTCTATTAAAAATACAAAAATCAGCCAGGCATGGTGGCAGGCACCTATAATCCCAGGTACTTAGGAGGCTGAGGCAGGAGAATCTCTTGAACTGGATGGCAGAGGTTGCAGTGAGCTGAGATTGTGCCACTGCACTCCAGCCTGGGTGGCAGAGAGAAACTCCATCTAAAAAAAAAAAAAATGTGCAGTCTGATGAGTTCTGAGAGTCTGTAAAAATTATCCTGGAGACCAGAGGTGAGAGCAACTGATTCCCAGTATCATGTAGCATGAATTACTGATGATGGATGGACATCAGCCTTGATAGTAGGTAGTCACTATAAGCTGAACCAAACCCTGCCATTCACTGATGACCAGATCTTGGGCAAACGACTTAATCAGTTCACACCCCAGTCACCTTATCAGTCATAATTCATACCTACCCTACCTGGGTATTGTGAGGATTCAATGATATAAAATATATAAAGTACATTGCCAACAGGACAAAAAAAGTTGATAAAAATTAATTATCTTTGCTTTTCCTTAGTAGCATAAAGAATAAAAGAACACAAGTTTAGCAGGTTAAGTCATGTCGTATTTAGTATTTGCAATAATTTGGTCATACACTAAACTGAAATTTACTCTTGTATTTTTTTTTTTTTTTTTTTTACATTTTTTGTAGACACCGGCTCTCACTTTGTTGGTCAGGCTGGTCTTGAACTCCTGACCTCAAGTGACCCTCCCACCTCAGCCTCCCAGATTGCTGAGATTACACGCATGAGCCACTAGGCCCGGCCTACTTTTGTATTTTTATATGCTGGGGAAATTCTTTGATCACTTGATTTATTTTTTATGCAGTTTTAGTATACATATCCCCATTGCTGTTTCATTTACATCATAAACCTATTTCTTATAGCAGTCATCCTTGCTTTTCCAACTAATAATCTTTAGTTTAAAAAGCCATTCCTACCAAGGAAAAAGATACATTGTGATTCACTCTTGAAAGAACCTAAGGAAAATCATTCCTCCTAATTCCAGCCTCCTCAGCATCAGGAGCAGAAATGAGAAGTACCACATTTTACTACCTGATGTAGGAATAGATATAATAGATATTAACTTTAAGCTCTAAGAAGCCATGATAAAATCTCTTTGACCACAGTGCTTCTCTGCAATTGAATCCTTTCAACTCAAGCTGTTGCTTTTTTTCCCAAGTTACTAAATATGAATTGAAATCATGAATTATGGTCAGGATGCTTGACCTAGCCAACTCTTGAAGTCTCTTGTCCCCACCCTCACCCCACTCCCTTCCTGGGGGCTGGTTAACCAGTGTGGAAGATCAAACAGGATTGCTCCGTTCAGCTGCTTGTGCCAAGAAGGCATTGCTTTTAGAATGCCTTCGAATGGCATTTTGTTCTGGCTGAGGACCACAAGCAATTCTAATAAGCCTGGGCACAGGCTAAGTTTAATTCTGGATCTTCTCTGATATAGGGCTTGGCTCCAGATTTAAGGCCTGCCTTTTAGCATGGGGCTTGGGAACATATGTGGAATAAGGAAGGTCTTTTGAGAAAACACGAGAAACAAATATTAATGTGTATGAAAGATCATGCACTAGAGTGGTTAGGTATTTTCTTTGTGAGCACAAGACTGTCATACTTGACTATAACATAAAAGCAGTTTGTGCAGTGGATAATAATTTTGAGTATACCTTATTCTTCTCGGAATAGATGTGTGTTTGCACACAGATCTTAAGGTGCTCATCACAGCAGACCTGGGTGTTTAGTAAAGGATCTTCTGATTACACCCATTTTTAAAAATGCGCAGACCTGGGTGTTTAGTAAAGATTATTCTGATTACAACCATTTTTTAAAATGCACACATTCCACCAACTTGTTTGGTGGAAATTACCAAACATCTATGTTAGATGGTAGAAGTTAGCAATGGAGAAATAAAGTTATATAGATTTGGTATATTTTTTTCTATCCATTTTTTTACACTTAGCATTCATAGCTCTCTCGCTTTCTCACACATGCACACGCACACACACACACACACACATACACACCCCCACACACAATTTGACAAGTTTTTACATTATATGTGCAGTTCTGAACATGGCCATTTTGTCACTCAACAATGTTTTTTAATTCTAGCATTTACATATAGATGTGGGTTTTGGGAGTTTATTGTTTTTTAAAAATGTTATGTAGTATATTCCATCATAAAAAACAGTCACACTTACCCACTTGCATACTTATGGACATTTAACTCGATTCCCATTTGCAGTATTATGAATAACACTGCCATGAACAGCCTTCACAGGACCCTCTGTGGGAATGTGTTTCTAGAATAAATGCCTCACAGTGGGTCGGACAGTGCAGGCATATTCTTTTTTATAGATGCTGTCCTCTAGAATGTCTCTATTCATTTATTTTCCTCTAGAATGTCTCTATGCATTTATTCTCCCACCATACACAGCTTATGAAAATACCTATTTCCTCAATGCAGCAATATTTGATGTTGTCAGATTTTATTTTTTGACAGCATAATCGCTGCAAATTGTATTAGTCTGTTTTCACACTGCTATGAAGAACTGTCTGAGGCTGGGTAATTTGTAAAGAAAGGAGGTTTAATTGACTCACAGTTCCACATGACTGGGGAGTTCTCAGGAAACTTAGAATCATGGTGGAAAATAAAGGGGAAGCAAGGCGCATCTTACATGGTGGTGAGAGAGACAGAGAGAGAGAGCATGCAAAGGAAGCCACACACTTTTAAACCATGAGATCTTGTGAGAAGTCACTATCATGGGAACAGCATGGGGGAAGTACTCCCATGATCCGGTCACCTCCCACCAGGCCCCTCCCTCAACACGTGGGGATTACAATTCGAGATGAAATTTGGGTGGAGACTCAGAACTAAACTATATCACAAATACTATCTCATTTTGTATTGAAACACTTTTAAGAGTCTCATTCTGCAATCATCATATATTGTAGTATATAATAATAAGAGACTTTTAAAATCAGATCCAACTTTTTGTAAAAGAAAAATATAAAACCAGGCTGGGTGCAGTGGCTCATGCCTGTAATCCCAGCACTTTTGGAGGGCAAGGTGAGCGGATCACGAGGTCAGGGCATCGAGATCATCCTGGACAACATGGTGAAACCCCGTCTCTACTAAAAATACAAAAATTAGCTGGGTGTGATGGTGTGTGCCTGTAATCCCAGCTACTTAGGAGGCTGAGGCACACGAATCACTTGAACCCAGGAGGTTCAGAGCCAAGATCATGCCACTGCACTGGTGACAGAGCAAGATTGTGTCTCAAAAAAAAAAAAAGAAAGAAAAAAACATAAAGCCGAAAGCTTATGTTGTGTTCTATTATTTTAAAATGTAAAAGGAACTATCATGTAAGATACAAATGTTAAACTGACTCATTCTTTCAACACTGATTAAGCATTTTGTACTAGGCTCTAGGATTATGACGATAAGCAGGTTATAGTTTGGGGCATCAGGGGCTCATTCCAGTGGAGGAAGCAGGTACTTAAACTAGTAGTTTCTGCAAATGCTGTAATAGTGAATGTTCAAAGGACCATAAGTGGACAGGAAGGAGAATATAAGTCTAATTGCCTTAGTGATGCAGAATGAATATTAGATTTCACCAAATTCAAAGCAAATGCTGCCCTTTTATGTGTTAAAAAAGACTGTCACACATTTACTCTTCAGCCCTGCTCTGCCATAGTATAGTACACGACACAATTGCCCCAAGAGCTGCAGTGTGATACAGAGATTCGTGTAAGAGAACTTGTCCCCACTCCTCCTGTGGGGACAGAGGTGACAGGTGCCTGTGAATCTACAAACAGCAGCTGAAGTCATCCTCAGCAACTAACGGTTCTTCAGTACTTGGCATGTACAAAACACCAGGCTAGGTGCTGAGGAGGATAAGGTGTGTATAACGGGGTCCTGTTCAGTGGCAGTTCAGAATCTAGCTGGGGAGATAAGGCAATTCATGTTTAATGACATTGTAGACACTTAGTCATAAGAAAAAACAACCAAATTTGAGTGATGCTTCCATATGGCCGGCTCATAGTGGAAAGAAAACTTTAATATCTAGAGAAATGTCTTAAAGGGAAACAGTGTATCCAGGTTCTGAGCTCTAGTTAGAGGTATAGATGAATTTGCATATATTAGGCTCTTAATACACAGTCCTGTACTTAGTAGGCACTCAGAACACTTTTAACATTTTTTGAGTTGACATAATGTTGTTACTAATAAAAATATTTCAAGAAAAATTATTCTTTTTTATTAGTTTTTAATTTTTGTCTTGTTTTTCAGGTCAAGAAGTGGTTTTCAAGTGTCTTGGGGAAGGAATTCTTGAAAAAGCCTTTCAGGGGTATAATGCATGTATTTTTGCATATGGACAGACAGGTAAGAAGTTGTTTTTATAAGCCAGATGTGGTGGGTCATGCCTGTCATCCCAGGACTTTGTGAGGCTGGGGTGGGAGGATCTCTTGAGCTCAGGAGTTTGAGACAAGCTTGGGCAATATAGTAAGACCATCTTTACAAAAAATAAAAATATTAGCCCATCGTGGTACACCTGTAGTCCCAGGTTCTTAGGAGGCTGGGGTGGGAAGATGGTTTGAGCCCAGGAGTTTGAGACTATAGTGAGCCATGATCATACCACCCCATTCCAGCCTGAGCAACAGAGGGAGACCCTGTCTCAAAAAAAAATTTTTTTTTTTTTTTTTTACAAACAATGATATTAAATATGGATTTCTTGTTATTTAAAAATAGAAAAAGGCCAGGTGTAGTGGCTCATGCCTGTGATCCCAACACTTTGGGAGGCTGAGATGGGCAGATCACTTGAGGTTAGGAGTTCAAGACCAGCCTGGCCAACATGGTAAAACCCCTATCTCTACTAAAAATACAAAAACTGACTGGGTGTGATGGTGCGTACCTGTAATTCCAGCTACTGGGGAGGCTGAGGCATGAGTATTGCTTGAACTTAGGAGGTAGAGGTTGCAGTGAGCCAAGATCGCGCCACTGCACTCTAGCATAGGTGATGAAATGAGAGTCTGTCTCAAAAAATAAAAAACAGAAAAAATAAAAATAGAAAAAACTGTGAAAAGCAACAGAAAAATGCATTTGACTTTGTACATTTAACTGAGTTAAGTGATCAAAAGTAATCCTCTTTTTGAAGCTACAGTAGTTTTGTTAATTGAGCAATTTCAGTGTTAATAAGCAAAGCTAGTTTCAAGTTATTAAGTGTCATTTTCCTCAATTATAGTTAGCCTGTATTTGAACTAGAAAAATAATTATCAGTTTCTTAAAAAACCAAAAACAAAAACAAGCAGGCCAGGCGCAGTGGTTGGTTCATGCCTGTAATCCCAGCACTTGGTGGGTGGATTGAAAGGTCAGGAGTTCAGGACCATCTTGGCCAACATGGTGAAACCCTGCCTCTACTAAAAATACAAAAATTAGCCAGGCATGGTGGCCCACACCTCTAATCCCAGCTACTCGGGAGGCTGAGGCAGGAGAATCACTTGAACCCAGGTGGCGGAGGTTGCAGTGAGCTGAGATCGTACCATTGCACTCCAGCCTGGGCGATAGAGTGCGACTCTGTCTCAAAATAATAACAACAATAATAATTACCAGTTTCTCATTATAAATGGCATAGTAAAAATGATAGAAAAACTCTTAGTTTCATCCTATACTGAGGACTTTCACTAGGATACAGAAGTAATGACAGATTATTAAACCTAAGCCTATGAAGCAGTTGGTTGAAGCAAGCAAATCAAAAACATCCTAACGGCTCAGCCATGAATACTCTGAGCCAGATCTTTCAACAATAAGGTAGGAATAAATAAATAAATTATAACAGTGCTGCCTAATATCACATCACAGGATAACTAGGAGATGCAGATGAGAGAATATATATAACGTAATATATGATGTGCTACTTAATAATGTATTGTTGGAATTTTACTGTACATACTTATAAATGTGTTTTTAGTGGTTGCATTTATACACATCATCTGTAAGCGAGGTGCTCTCCAGATCTTGGCGAGTCACACTGGAAGCCCTGAGTGTAATGGAAAGAACAGTAGCCTGGGTATCCAAGAGCCTGGGTTTGAGGCTAAGTTGGCCACTTTTCTGCTCTGTGACCTTGGCTGGCATATGCGGAAACCTTGTATGGTTGAAGCATTGCATTTTGCTTCCTCCTCTACCCGTTCTTCTTTCTGCTTGCTCTTCTCCAGGTTCAGGAAAATCCTTTTCCATGATGGGCCATGCTGAGCAGCTGGGCCTTATTCCAAGGCTCTGCTGTGCTTTATTTAAGAGGATCTCTTTGGAGCAAAACGAGTCACAGACCTTTAAAGTTGAAGTGTCCTATATGGAAATTTATAACGAGAAAGTTCGGGATCTTTTAGACCCCAAAGGGTAAGTTAATGGTCAAGATTAAGTGTGTTTGGGTGCAGGGGGAGGGGGGAGTGCTTTTAAATGATTCTAAAGTTAAAATTGAAAGTAAATATACGTATTTAAGCTCTTGGTGACTATGCTGGTTTTTATTCATTTACAGAGAAATCATCAGCTTCTCAAAGTGTGTTGGTATACCCAGTGTTTATCCTACATTAATGTATAAAGTTGCCTATGTGTGTATGCCCTTTGAAAATATGTTTTCATTATTTATTTATTTTTTTGCCACCATGAACTAGTCATAAAAATTGAGTTAGGAATAACACATTAGTTCTTCCATTTACATTGGAAAGCAGCACCTCTGTGTTAAAGGTAAAAGGGTTGAAGGATTAAAACATCCCAGCCTAGGCAAGCAATGCCTTTCCCTGGCTGTGCATTGGAATCATGTGGGGAATGTTTTAAGGATCCCCTTGCCTGATTCCCACCCATAGAGACTGGATTCAGTAGACCCAGAGTGAAACCCAGGGATCTATTTAACTAGGTGATAAAAATAGATTCATTTGATTCATAGAGGAAGGGGGACCATTTACTTTTTTTTTCAATTAAAAAATTTGGGGCCAGGTACAGTGGCTCATGCCTATAATCCCAGCATTTTGGGAGGCCGAGGTAGGCAGATCACCTGAGGTCAGGAGTTCCAAACCAGCCTGACCAACATGGTGAAACCTCGTCTCTACTAAAAATGCAAAAATTAGCCAGGTGTAGTTATGGGCACCTGTAATCCTAGCTACTTGGGAGGCTGAGGCAGGAGAATCACTTGAACCCAGGAGGCGGGGTTGCAGTGAGTTGAGATTGTGCCACTGCACTCCAGTCTGGGCAACAGAGGGAGACTCCATCTCAAAAAAAGAAAAGAAATTGTACTGATTTATAAATAATATCTATGTATGGAAAATTTGGAAAATAGGTAAAGTATAAAAAGAAATAAATATGACCTATAATCTCACCATTCAAAAACAACCACTAAGGCCAGGAGTGGTGTGGCTCGTGCCTATAATCCCAGCATTTTGTGAGCCTGAGGTGGGTGGATCACTTGAGGTCGGGAGTTTGAAACCAGCCTGGCCAACATGGTGAAACACCATCTCTACTAAAAATACAAAAGTTAGCCAGGTGTGGTGGCAGGCACCTGTCATTCCCAGCTACTCAGGTAGCTGAGGCAGAGAATTGTTTGAACCCAGGAGACTTGGCAGTGAGCCAAGATCGCACCCCTGCATTTCAGCCTGGAGTGAGACTTCATCTAAAAAATGATAATAATGGTTACTGTTACTACTTTGGTGCATTTTATCCAAAATTGTGGGTGACAAGGAAGTGACTCAATCAAAGAAAATGTTTATATTTACTTTTAAGATGCCGTTAACTATTTAATGCATACAAAAGAACATTTATAACACCTGTAAGGCATAAAGAGTAATAAAAACAACTGCCTACCTACATTTAGCTTAGCCAAAAGTACTCTGCCAATAAATCAATCAATTAATTAATTAAAATAAATGGAACATTACCCATAATTGTGAAGTTCACTGTATGTTGCTCTTGGATCCATTTTCTACCCCTCCCCAAGGTAACTGCTATTGTCAATTTTGTGTTTAGCATTCTCTTACTCTTCTTTAGCATTTACAAATAATTTTGCACAATTTTTAACTTTGTGTGACATAATATATGTGTGCTTTGGTGATTTGTTCCCCCACCATGATTCATTTATTCTTATACTTGAAGTGCTAATGCATTTTTGCTGTCATCTAGCATTTCATCGCCTGATTATATCAATAATTCATCACTTCCCCTGTTTTTTGTGTGGTTCCTGCTTTTATCAATACAGTGCTGCTCTGAAAGCACTGCTTTGCAGGTCTCCTGGCATAGGTGCAGGAGTTTCTAGGTAACACATTTAGGGGTGGAATTGTAAGTCACAAAATACCGAATCTCCCAACTTTATTCAGTAGTAAAAAGTGGCTGTACCAGTTTCTACTCCCACCAACAGTGTACAAGCATTTCAGATATTGGACACCATCACAGGCACTTGATCTTACAGTAGATTTACTTTTTCTTGCTGCTGAATAGCATTATAGAATCTCTGGCAAGCAGAGTAAGCTGTACTGGATCATGTGCATTTAAGTAGCTCATTGTCACACCGAATTCTTCATCTCTGAAATAAAGGTGGTAGGCTGGGCACAGTGGTTTATATCTGTAATCCCAGCACTTTGGGAGGCCAAGGCGGGCAGAGCACAAGGTCAGGAGATCAAGATCATCCTGGCCAACATGGTGAAACTCCATCTCTACTAAAAATACAAAAATTAGCCAGGCGTGGTGCTACGTGCCTGTAATCCCAGCTACTTGGGAGGCTGAGGGATAAGAATCAGGTGAACCCAGGTGGCAGAGGTTGCAGCAAGCCGAGATCGCGCAACTGCGCTCCAACCTGGTGGCAGAGCAAGACTCTGTCTCAAAAATAAATATATAAATAAATAAATAAAATAAAGGTGGCAAAGCCTACTTTGTAGGGATGTTTTGAGATTAAATGGCGTAACTGAAAAGTGCTTCAGGGAACAGTGCCAGGATGCATTCAGTGATGATTCTTAGCTCCTTTTCCTCATATATTAGTGATGCTACACATTGACTCTTAATTTGAAAGGTGATTAATATCTGTTGCCATGAAAAAGATGGCATATATAATATGGTCAGTATAGACATAGCTTTGCTTTTAATCTCCATTGTCTTTGATAAACCATTCAAATGGGTTCCAAACCAGGTTTGTCACTTAAAAATTCAAAAAAGCTTTACGATTTTTATTAGCAGAACCAATTCTAAGTAGGACAAACATCAGTAAGTATAGACAAGGTCTGTACTGTCATCTCACTTTCTGTATAAAAAAGTGTAAGCATAGAGGTAGCATAAACCATTGCAGAAATGAAGTTTAAACATTTTAACACTGTTTACTAATAATTCAGAAATTTTGACTGGGCCATGGTGGCTCACATCTGCAATCCCAGCATCTTGGGAGGCTGAGGCTGGAGGATTGCTTGAGCCCAGAAGTTCAGGACCAACTTGGGCAGAATAGTGAAGCCACATCTCTACAAAAAACATACAAATTAGCCAGCATAGTGGCATGGGCCTGTAGTCCCAGCTACATGGGCAGCTGAGGTGGGAGAATTACCTGAGCAGGAGGTTGAGGCTATAAGAAGCCAGGCTCATGCTACTCATTCTAGCCTAGGCAACAAAATGAGACCCTGTCTCAAAAAGTAAATATAATTTTAAGACATTATCCACCAAGAATATGCTTATTTATGAAATAGACTAAAGGTTAAATTTGATCTGGCTTGTTCTTTGCTTCACTTTTTTCCCCCACCTTTGCCAAAGTATAACTGACAGCCTAACCCAGTAAGGTTTGTAACTTTGTAACTAAAGGTAGAATGTTTCAAACAGTAACTCACTTTGAATAGAAATCAGAGTGTAAAACACAGTTCTCATGTGCAGCATTGTTTTGCTAATCCAAAGAAAGCAGCTTTTAGATTGGTTGGGGGAGGAGTCATTAAAAATTCTTTTGAAATTGTTATCTTGGTTGCTGTGTACTTAAAAAGAAAGAAAAGCTTCCAACTTTGGTCTGATTCAATTTATTCCTTTTTCCTCCCTCCCACAGGAGTAGACAGTCTCTTAAAGTTCGAGAACATAAAGTTTTGGGACCATATGTAGATGGTTTATCTCAACTAGCTGTCACTAGTTTTGAGGTAAGTCATTTTTTTTTAATGTGATTAAAAGCTGACTATAAATCAAAGTGTATAAGTGATATTGGATATATTTTATGTGGATGCTTTATAGCACAATGATACTACTCAGGGCCTCAGAACCCCAATATCAGCACACTGCAGACAGAGAGGGAAAGGGCATTTAATCACACTCTTCAAGCTGCTTTGTTGTGAAGGTTTTACAGTATGGCCGAAAGGCCCCATGCTTTGAGGTTGCTGTGAATTTTCAGTAATACTACTCGGTTACAACTGTTCTCCACTGATGCCTGCGACATCCTTCTAGACATGTGCTAGTCTAAACAGTCTTTGGCAGTTAGTGCAGCGCTTTCATTTTGGCAGGCTCACCTGCCTTGGTTGCTGTCCCTTCTGGCTCTTCTGTTTTTCTGAATCACTCCTCTTGCCATTGACCGGCCTATTTTCCTTTATATTTACTCTTTGACGTGTATGTCTTGTTAAGATCTGACTCAAGATTCTGCTTCCATTTCTAGTCATTGCTTCAGAAATCTCATAACACAAACTACTGTCTTTGTTGCTAAAGAGTGTGAATGAATGAGTGGATGCAGGGAGGAACAAGCAAATCCCTGCACTTACTTTGTGCTGCCTGTGGGATGTGGCTGACCCATTATCACCCCAGTCTTAGTGTGGCTAGAACTAATCTGGGCAGTGACTCTCCAGCCATTCAAATCAAGATACATACAGAATTGCTCTAATCAGAAATAGAGCACAGTGATCATTTAAAAAACATTTCAATTCTGAAACGATGGATACCTTTTTGGTCCAAAGGTGCTAACTCAGCCCCTTCACTGAGGTCTCTGTTCTTAGCTCAGTGTGCTCAGTGTCGATGTTATCCTGTCACTTACTAGTAGGAGCCAGTGTGCTCTTGATTTGCATCCCAGCTCCATCTCTTACTGGATGTGGGGAAAGTGGCTTGACCTCCACTAATTTCAGCATCCTTGTGTGTAAAATCAAGAAAATAAAGTTTATTCAGCAAATGTTTCATAAGACCCCGTAGGCTCCAGGTGTTCTAGGAGCAAGTGTACAAAGTTGAATAAGAAGAAACACTGCCATTGGGGAGCCACAGTGTTGGAGGAGGCAGGCAGACAGGCAGGCATCAGCAGGTTGGTAAGCGCAGGAGAGTTAGTTAAATAAAGTCACTGCTGTCATGATTATCAGAGTGCTCGATGAATATTAGCTACCCCAGGAACCCGAAAAGGATAGGGACTCAGCTGAGAAAGAAGATAATTGGGAAATGGAAAAAAGAGTGAGGGAAACATTTCATACATTGGAAAGCCCTGAGTGAGGTGGACACTCAAACCATGCTCAATGGTAGAGCGGCAGGGAGGTTTCTATGGAAGGGAAGTGACAAAGGCATCAGAAGAATCATAATTAATACATACACCTGGTGTGCAGGACCGCATTCTTGTGTTTTGGCTTATGGTCTTCTCCCTATGCTTTGCCCCTAGGATATTGAGTCATTGATGTCTGAGGGAAATAAGTCTCGAACGGTAGCAGCTACCAACATGAACGAAGAAAGCAGCCGCTCCCATGCCGTGTTCAACATCATCATCACGCAGACACTCTATGACCTGCAGTCTGGGGTGAGGGACTGGGCAGAACTTGGGCAGGGAGGTGGGCAGAAGAGCTGAAAGTGTCTACAGAGATAAAGTCTTTCATGGTTGGGTTCTATGGCTGAGAATAGTATGTTGGCTCTTCTGCTTACTAGATGAGCTACTTTGCTTTAATCATTTAATTTAGTAGGTCTTGCTTTATATTTGACTTTTTAAAAAATTGGATTTTGGCCTGGTGCGGTGGCTCATGACTATAATTCTGGCACTTTGGGAGGCTGAGGCAGGATTCCTTGAGGCCAGACGTTCACGACCATCCTGCATAATATAGCGACACCCAGACTCTACAAAAGCAAAAAAGAAAAATAATTGTATTTTTTTGTGCAAAGTCCCTAACAAGTGTGATGATATCACCATACCGCTTTTAATATATATCCTTTCATGCTGAAATTCCCATGGAAACAAATAACTCAGCTTCATAGTCATTGAGGGATATTAAAGAGGACACCACAACCTTTAGCCTAAAACCTTTTTTCAGAAGGAGAAGAATTTGACCTGAATGTGCAGAAATCCTCATGTCCTAATATTTCCTTATAGGCATGTAAAATCTCTAGCTTTCTGACTGTATTCCAGAAAGCTGGGTGTACTTGCTACCCAGGTGCAAAACAAAAATGCTACAGGTCCTCACCAATTTAAATTTTAACTATGAAATTAATTGCTAGTTCAAATAACTCTAATGACCATTTAAAAACTTAAGAAATTTGCCATGTGAGAGTGGGGTGGATTACTCAATTACAGTGCTAATATATATGTAGATATCCATTTGATTTTTTGCATTGATAAGTTTTTTTTTCTCTCTCGTTTTCTATAACTAGAACTCCGGGGAGAAAGTCAGTAAGGTCAGCTTGGTAGACCTGGCGGGTAGCGAGAGAGTATCTAAAACAGGAGCTGCAGGAGAGCGACTGAAAGAAGGAAGCAACATTAACAAGTAAGGTGGCTGGTGCCTGAACAGCCTGGGTGATTTCCTCCTGGGGGGGATTTGCTGCATTGTGAGAGTCAGATGGTTCTGATGCACAGGTTGTACAAAGTCCGTACAGCTTTAGTAAATGGGGTTGAAGACAAAAACAACCTGTGTCTATTAAGATGTATGAGGTTTTTAGCCAGGCATGGTGGCTCATGTTTGTAATCCCAGCACTTTGGGAAGCCAAGGCAGACGGATCACCTGAGGTCAGGAGTTTGAGACCAGCCTGGCCAACATGGCAAAACCCCATATCTACTAAAAATACAAAAATTAAAAAAAAAATTAGTTAGGCCTGGTTACACACACCTGTAATACCAGCTACTAGGGAGACTAATGCAGGAGAATCACTTGAACCTGGGAGGCAGAGGTTGCAGTGAGCCAAGGTTGCACCACTGAACTCCAGCCTGGGCAACAGAGTGAGACTTTATCTCAAAAAAAAAAAAAAAAAAAAAAAATTGTGTGAGGATTTCGTCCAGGTGCTGTGGCTTATGCCTGTAATCCCACATTTTTGGAGGCCAAGGTGGGTAGATCACTTGAGGCCAGGAGTTCAAGACCAGCCTGGGCAACGTGTTGATACTCCATTTCTACCTGGTCTCTACCCTGTCTCTACTAAAAACACAAAAATTAGCTGAGCATGGTGGCACATGCCTATAATCCCAGCTACTCATGAGGCTGAGGCATGAGAATTACTTGACTCTGGGAGGCAAAGGTTGCAGTGAGCCAAAATCACTCCACTGTACTCCAGCCTGGGCAACAGAGCAAGATTCTGTCTCAAAAAAAAAAAGATGTATGAGGTTTAAGTAAAACTACATGGTGCAGCTTGCTCAAAAATGGCACAGGCAAAATACCATGTTCTGACATATATGGAAGCTAATAAAGTTGATTTCATAGGAGTAGAGGGTAGAATAGTGATTATTAGGGGCTGGAAAGGGGAGGGCAGGGGGAATAACCAGAGGTTGGTTAATGGATACAAAATTACAGCTCAATTGGAGGAATAAATTCTGGTATTCCATAGCACTATAGGGTGACTGTAATTGACAACTTATTGTTTATTTTCAAATAGCTAGGAAAGTGGATTTTCAGTGTTCCCAATACAAAAAAATGGTAAGTATTTGAGGTGATAGATATACTAATTACCCTAAATCGATCAGTATACATTGTATATATGTATCAAAATATCACACTGTACCCCATAAATATGCACAATTGTGTTTCAAAAATAAAAGCAGGACACCAGGCACAGCAGCTCATGCCTATAATCCTAGCACTTTGGGAGGCCAAGGCAGGTGAATCACCTAAGGTCAGGAGTTCAAGACCAGCCTGGACAACATGATGAAACCCCTTCTCTACTAAAAATACAAAAAATTAGCCGAGCATGGTGGTAGGCACATGTAATCCCAGCTACTTGGGAGGCTGAAGCAGGAGAATCACTTGAACCCGGGAGGAGGGGGTTGCAGTGAGCCAAAATCACACCACTGCACTCCAGCCTGGGCAGCAAGAGTGAAACTTCATCTCAAAAAAATTAATTAATTAATTAATCAATGAAAAGCAAAAAATGTTACAAATGCATATGTGTATCATACATAATGCAGTCTTAGGTAAATGTAAGTCACAATTCTTTTTTTTTTTTTAAACCATATGTAAGTCACAATTCTATAAATCAAATTATATCTTAGATAAACTCAGGGAGCTTATCTGAAAAGAAAATCGTCTTTGAATCCCTTTGTAAGGCTAATTCTGCTTAAATACCAGTACCTTAGAAGAATTTCAGTTACTGAATAGCTGCCATGCTGAAATCTCGCCGTTTGCCTTGAGTGTCTGCAAGTGCTGGGAAGTTTGAAAGAAAGCAGAGGGTGGAAGATGAGGAGTAATTTGCCAGGTAGACACAGGAGATACAAGCATTCCATGCAGAGGGCTCAGCATGAAATAGCAAGTCCTCATAACGAAGGACTTGCTATGAGGCCAGGCACAGTGGTTCACATTAATCCCACCACTTCGGGAGGCTGAGGCAGAAGGTTTGCTTGAGCCCAGGAGTTTGAGACCAACCTGGGCAATGCAGTGAGATCTCATTTCTATTAAAAAAATAAAAAAGACTTGGTGTTTTTCGTTATGCAGTATCCCAGGACAGTCTGTGATGTGCAAGAGGAAGTCTCTTTGCTTTCCACCATTAAAGGAAGCAGAGTTCGAATTTAAGAGTGTGCATTCAAGCTAGACTGCCTGGGTTTAATCCTGAATCCACCACTTCCTAGATATGTACGTCATGGGCAAGTGATTTAACAACTCAGTACTTCATTTTGTTATATGAAAAATAAAGTTCATAATAGTGGCCAGGCATGGTGGCTCATTCCTATAATTCCAGCACTTTGGGAGGTTGAGGCTGGCAGATCGCCTGAGGTCAGGAGTTCGACACCAGCCTGGCCAACATAGTGAAACCCTGTCTCTACTAAAAATATGAAAATTAGCTGGGTGTGGTGGTGGGCACCTGTAATCCCAGCTACTTGGGAGACTGAGACAGGAGAATCACTTGAACCCAGGAGGTGGAGGTTACATTGAGCTGAGATTCATTGCACTCCAGCCTGGATGACGAGAAACTCCATCTCAAAAAAAAAAAAAAAAAAATTAGCCAGTCGTGGTGGTGGGCATCTGTAATCCCAGCTACTTGGCTGGCTGAGGCAGGAGAATCACTTGAACCCAGGAGGCAGAAGTTGCACTGAACCAAGGTCGTGCCACTGCACTCTAGCCTGGGCAATAAGAGCAAAACTCTGTCTCAAAATAATAGTAATAATAATAATAATACGTACTTCACAGATTTGTCAGGGATAAAACACCTATAATGTGCTTAGAAAAATGCCTGGCACTTAGTTTGCGTGAATAAATGTTTAATAGCTTTTGTTTGTTTTTTTTTTTTTGTCAGGATAACCATTATCATTATTTCAAATTCAGCAGAAAGTACTTTAGTGTGTACTTATAATCTTTTTCTGTTGAGCTGTAATAATTTAGGATTTTGTTTAGGACAGAATGTGACAAGAGGAAATATATTCAGGAACATGTTTGCACAGCTTGCATTTAAGATGATGTTAACACGTTATTATTTTAGTATACAAAAGTTTAAAAATTAAAAGTAAAACAGTGGCCCCTCTATCAGATGGACACAGCCATACTCACTGGGAAAGACCACTACTATAGGGAGTTAATCATCCAGTCATCCTGTCTCCTGCTCTGATAACAAAGGATTTAGCTGTATTTCCTGACAAGGCATTGCAAGATTCCAGACTGGCACTGCGGCCCTGCATTCCAAAATGAGTTCAGAAACCAGAATGGGGAGGCAGAAATGGGAGTGTGAAAGAGCAGATACCAAAGAAAAGATTGCCACGCCTCCTGGGGATTACTTTGCAAGTGGGGCTATGCCTGCCAATGGGGCTTGTGGGATCACACACTAGAAAGTCTTTAGACTTGTTGGAATTTAGAGAGAGAGAGAGAGAGAGAGAGAGAGAGAGAGAGAGAGAGAGAGAGAGAGTGTGTGTGTGTGTGTGTGTGTGTGTGTGTGTGACTAGCCTAAATATGGAATGACCACTAACTTTATTGAGCTCTTGCTAGTATCAGGCAGTATTCTGAATGCTCCATATGCAGTGTCACATCACCATTTAGGCATGGGTTCGTTATCCCCATTTTACAGATGGGGAAATCAAGACAGAGAACAGTTTAATGATGTCTTCCAGGTCACCAAGTTCTAAGTGTGGGTTTTGGGAATGGTTGTAGTTAGTCGGTCTCCGAGTCCAGGCCCAGCCACTGTAGCTATACTCGTAGCGGTGGCTGTGCGTTCTGTTTGCCAGGCAGCATCTGAATGATACTTTTGTCCCAGAGTAAATATAAATAGTGCCCCCTTAATTTTGGACATGAATTTTTGTAGGGGACCTTACTGGATTACCCCAATGCTTGGTAATTACATAATTTAGATCATTTAATAACTGGCTCTTTTTTCATAATGGCTTATTGAATTGAATGGAATTTTTTTCAATATCTTACTCTCTTTTCTTCTCTCTCTCTCTTTTTTTTTTTTTTTTTTTTTTTTTTTTTAAGAGATGTGGTCTCACTATATTGATCAGGCTGATCTTAAACTCTTGACCTCCATTGATTTAACCATCTCAGCCTTCCAAAGTACATACACTCTGGGAGATGCATAACGTGTATTTTTATTTCTTTTTTAAGAGGAGGAAACTGATGCTTAGAGACATTAAATAACATGAGTAAAATCCCAGCAAACATTTAGTATGCCCTGGCTGGGTACAGTGGCTCACCCCATAGTCCCAGCATTTTGGGAGACTGAGGTAGATCGCATGAGGTCCGGAGTTCAAGACCAGCCTAACCAGTGTGGTGAAACCCTGTCTCTACTAAAAATACAAAAATTAACCGGGTGTGGTCATAGGTGCCTGTAATTCCAGTTATTCAGGAGGCTGTCTCAGGAAAAAAAAAAAAAAAACAGTTCCTAAACTAAAGAAATCTCTGACATATTCTTAAGCTTTCTCTGGGCTCCCACTTGGGTTTCTCTGGAGGAGCATTAATAATCCTCTTAAGCAGACCTGTCAAGGACTTCACACAAACATCAGTGTCTGCTTAATGGGCTGTGGATTTAGGAGCTTCATGTCTCCTGAAGCTCTTAAGAACTTTAAGCACATGCTAGTCCTTTCGTTAAAGAACTAAGGCACTGTGTGGCCTACTGCCAAGGAGTGCTCAGAGCTTAGGAGGTATAGGTCATCTGTGGGCTGTCTTCACAGGGGAATACATTTGAAAAGCCAATCTGGTGCTCCATCTGTTTAGCGAAGGTGGAATGAAGAAGCCTTTTCCTTGTCATTGCAGTCTGGCTGCTTCAGTTTTGCTGAGAACACATTTGGAACATAGAGCACTCTCTGATACCCTCAGACACTGAAAATGGTTTCATTTTATTCTCAATAATGGCTAGTCACTAA